CACTCATTGATTATTCTGCTGATTTTAATAAATATGCAAATAGAGAAGTTCTTTGTTCTCTTTATTCCTGTGCCCTCACGACATTTTTCATTAATACCACACTGTTGACATGAATTCGCCAAATAAACTCTTAGAAGACAATTATTTTGGGGCATCAAGCTGACCAATCGTATACAATTCTTCCAAAACTCGTGAGATCCCCGAATAGGAAAGTTATCAGACCATAGAACCGTCATCAATACAATGCTCACCTACTATTCAATATAATATGCAATTAAATTCGGGTAAAACTTGATCTAAAGAACTCATTTATGATTATTCGCACTCTATTCATTGTTGAGAGCAGATGTTCCAATTACAAACATTTTTCAGTTCAAATATCAAACGCCAGCTTTCTTGCGATAAAAGGTGTTACCAAGAAGTCAAAAAGAGGAAAGCACAACGGCAGTTCCTTTCATTTTTGCCCGATCAAGCAGCTTCTGTTATGATTACTGGAATTACTTCTACTGAGAATTCCACTTTTCTTTACCTCGTCGTTAAAGTATGTTCAATTACTCACAACAAGCAGGACTGAACTGTCACCTCATTCGCAACTTTTCAAATTTTTCCACTTTCACTGAGGTTTTTGTGGCTTTAAACATTGCATCATCCATAACAGCAACACTGGGAAATGCGCTAATCCTTATTGCACTTCAAAAAGAATCCACCCTTAATCCTCCGTCCAAGTTATTTCTCCGTTGCATGGCATTCTCGGATCTCAGTGTTGGCCTTCTCGCGCAACCAGCAGTAGTTATTTCCTTTTTATTCGCTGTTTACCAACGGTGGGATCTGTGTCTAATCAGCGAGTATATCTCATTTTTTTTAACGCAGTCTTTACTGGATTTTCGTGTGCAACAATCACCATTGTTAGTGTGGACAGACATCTTGCTTTGTTGTTAAGGAACAGGTACCGCCAGGTTGTAACCATCAAGCGAGCTAGAATTGTTGTTCTACTGTTCTTGTTCGCGTCTACTGCCAACTGCTTTATAGTCCTCATAAGCACCAACGTTTTTATGATCTTCAACTTCATAATGTGGTCTTCATGGATATTACTCTCCATTTACTGTTATATGCGAATCTTTCTCACTCTCAAAACTCATATCCGAGCTCAAATCACTCCACAAGGCCAGCCCAATGGGATTTCACCCGAGAACTTGTTGCGATACAGAAAAACAGTGTCTACTGCATTGTGGCTCTTTGCTGCGATGATAATTTGCTACTTTCCGGTTGCTTTGGTATTCATAGCTCATTCAGCCACTTCACAAACCATTTCATCCATGATGATATTCTATTTTGCGATCTCATTGGTTCATTTCAATTCATCTCTTAACCCTTTGCTGTATTGCTGGAAAATCAGAGAAATAAGGAATGCAGTAAAAGAAATTCTCAGGAATCTGGCTTGATAGTTGTGCGGATCATAGAACGGAAACATCAAGTTAAAGTCAGTTGAAGTCTTACAATGTCACACATGCTCGCAAGTGGAGGCAAACTCTTGGTTCTGATATAAACTACAAACATGATCACCCTCTATCGAACCAGATCAAGTACCCATGTGCCAACAAATTCCAGAGTGTCCGTTTGAAAAAGAAATGGAACACACAGTTTTAACATTACTATAGTTGTTTCGGTGATTATAGAGATGCAAACACTCTGATTGGTCAAGTATTGCGTCATATTTCGCTATAATCACCTCGCGCGAGGACAGCTAAAATGCCTTCATGAAGGAGACGGTCTTTTATCAAGAAATATACCTTAGAACTGGCATACTGCAAAATTTACTCAACAAAGTTCCAAAATACGATCGAGTTGCAACTTCTCTGGGCAATAGTAACGAAAACAAGGATAGAACTGAGGGAAAGAGAAGGCTAGGCAAAAAAAATACTTTAACCATTTGACCCCTAAGAGTGACTAGAATGAAATTTCTCCTTACAATATCACCCCAGAATCAAACATTAAGGTCATGAGAATAAATTAAATGATCGCCAACTGAAGAAGCTCTTGATTGTTAAACAAATTCTCCTTGTCAGCACCTTAGGGAATATATAGAGAACAGTGTGGAGAATATGCATACTGATATTAGGATGTAAAGGGCTAAATGTTGTGTTCTGCATATTTTCACTGTATAACATAAATAGCACCACAACTATCCACACCAAATGCATAAACACTCGTAAGTATTCCATACCCGAAGAGATCTTTCACAAACATTAGATTTTTTTTAAGGCAAGAATAGTAGAATTTACCAGATCTAAATTTTGTGTCTAAAATGTCTAAAGAGTTCCCTCTAACAGGCGTATTACTCGAACAACATGAAATATGAATTGGACGACAATTTCCTGACAAACATTTATCGAAATAGAACAGGCCCATCAATCTCTCAAAAGAAGAAAGTACACGATCTCAATAAACATAGCTCCTTCCTTCCTTCCGTTAGCAAACTTCCTTTAATTACACTACACGCAAAAGTAATTTAAGGAGTACAATGACAGCACGTAGTGACGATAACAAAAAAGCCCCCTTGATTCCGATAAGAGAAAACGCCATAGCTATCAGCTCATCCTTTGAATCATTACTGAACTTTACATAAGTACTGAACAGGAACCACAAATTCCAGGTTGTGATTTTCAAAGGATAAAAATTGGCGACATTGAGCCAAAAAATCACAATAACTTTGAAAGAAAATTGGAAAACATTCTAATCCATAACGCGGCCTTTCATTTAGATTAAATATTATAAAAAATACTTTTATTCTTTGTTGAGAGTAAAATATGGTAAACTTAATAATCAATATAATATTCAATTACATAAGGGTGAAATTTTTCACAAAAGAACTCATTGCTTACCACTCGTATTTCATTTGCTGTGAAAGAGCAAATGTATTCTTTCAAATAACAAACGCGAGCTTTGAAATAAATAGTGTTACTACGAAGACAGAAAAGAGGTGACTCCTTTCATTTTCTTCCGATTAAGCAGTTTCTGTTATAGTTACAGGAATCACTTCTAGGATATCACTTATCTTGACCTCGTCGTTAAAGTATGTCCAATTACTCACTACAATCACCGCATTGTCACCTCTATCGCAAATTCCCACAGCCGTTTGCCACTTTCACACCGATTTTTGTGGCTTTAAACATCGCATCATCCATAACAGCAACACTGGGAAATGCGCTCATCCTTATTGCACTTCAAAAAGAATCATCCCCTAATCCTCCATCCAAATTATTTCTTCGTTGCATGGTGTTCTCGGATCTCGGTGTTGGTCTTCTCGTGCAACCAGCAACAGTTGCTTCCCTTCTGACTGCTCTCAATCAAGGTTGGAATCTGTGTGTAATCAGCGACAGTATCTGGAATTTTGTCAGCATATTCTCAAGTACATTTTCATTTGCGACGATGACCGCAATTAGCGTGGACAGACACCTCGCCTTGCTGTTAAGGATCAGGTACCGCCAAGTTGTAACCATCAAGCGAGCAAGAGTGGTCGCTACTCTGTTCTTGTTATTGTCCATTGCCGTCTGCATGGCAGTGTTTTCAGGCGTCAACGCTTTCATCATCTTGAACACCATAATGTGGTCTTCATGGCTAATAATCTCCACTTACTGTTATACCCGAATCTATCTCAGCCTCAAAAATCATATCCAAGCTCAGATTACTCCACAGTGTCAACCCAAAGGAATTTCAGCCTTGCAGTTGTTGCGATACAGAAAAACAGTGTCCACTACTTTGTGGGTTTTCGCTACAATGATAATTTGCTACCTTCCCTTCGGTTTGGTTTGGATTGTTCACGCCGCCGGTTCAGAAAGCGTTTCATTGATGATCATGAGCTACTTTGCAACAACGTTGCTTTATCTGAATTCAACGCTTAACCCTTTGCTGTATTGTTGGAAAATGCGAGAAATAAGGATTGCAGTGAAAGAAATTCTGAGAAATCTTTTATTGAATCTCAGTTGCGTGTGAATAGAGCCAACAAAATAGTTAATTGTCCCCAAAGTATGAAAGAAAGATGATGCCATGTCTCTTGTGAAGATAAGTCACCGGGTTTAAACAAACTAGCGTCATCGCTCTTCTTATAACATTTTACATTATACTGAATTAGATAAAAATAATTTAAGAAGAGATCAAGTCTCGGGAACATTGAGTCATGAAGGCAAAGAAGGTTTTCTTTTTCACAGGGAAGTTGGACAAATATCAGGTAATAATGGGCTCTTTTTTCGGAAGAAAAATACCAGGCATTATCAATGGTTATATATTTTTTTAGAAGACGAATTCGTAAAAGACGGACCGTTGGGTAGTTAACGAAGCATACGCATTCGGGCCAATTCGCAGAACACGGAAAAACCGAGAGTCTACCACAACTATGCAATAAAAATCAAATCATCACAAAAAAATCAACGAGAAAAGTAAGTGATGTAAAAGAAACATTGCACTGGATAAGCTACCTATTTTAGGCCAAGTGATTGATTCCTTGTAGAGCTTTCTTAAACAAAACAATTGGCGAAAAAAGATTTAGCAAACGTCGGGGTTTAAATATGACTTCAAATGCAGAAAAGAAGACGGGTCCAGCCACCAAAAGAGAAAATAGAGGGAAATTATTTTCTCTTGACCACATTTTATTTTGAGCGCATACTGTGCAAGACGGTGTCCCAAAAATTTATGTTTCTGTAACACAAAACCTGCCTAAAGGAGTCTTCTGCAGGCTTTGTAACAACATGAAAAGGATCCCTTAGGCCTGACCACTGACTGTGCCTTGCGGAATAATTATGGTATAAATAAAGGGGTGCAATGAAATATTTTGCAATTGATGCTGTGTTAGAAATGAGAAAGAGAACCTTAATGAAAAGAATAAAAAAGATATCTCCACCCTGGAAAATATAATCTGGTAAACTTTCAAATTTCCTTTTTTTCTTTCACTGCAATATTCAAAGGACGTTTACCACTCTCAAAAGTGATTATCTATATAGTACCTGATATTCCGTCAGTTTCTGCCTCTTTAGTCTCTTCAGCTCCACAAGTTCTCTGTATTCCTCTGTATTCCGCTGATCTACTGGCACAGTTTCCTCATCCTATCATAAACACAGTATACAAAGTACGTTAGTAAGTGTTTTTGTTTACAAGAATGTATATTATACACAAAATGGCGCTCTTCGTACAAAAGTGCTGTTAAACCAAAACCATAATAATCGCAATGATGAAGGTGCATATTAAAGAACCACAAAGACCAAATGAGAATTCATGGTAATTTTAACTAAACTGCATCTAGCCCTAGGTCGGGTCACAATTATCTGCGTCTACGGTATTCCATAACGATGCTTTCCATCAAAACTACGGCATAAGAAAACAGCAGTTTCACGCAAAAGTTATAAAAAAAAAAATGGAAAACTTCAAAGAAGTCTGTAATAGGTAACAAAAGAAGGCAAAAGGAAAACTTGGGACTTAACGAACACAAAGCTTATTTGTGTATCTCGTTTGTCCAACGTTGTCTTATGAGCTTAGAGTGTTTCTCTTACACTCCTACTGTACAACAACTTGGCTCTGACAGCCTTGAAGGTCTTGGAGCACCATGTCGGGCCGCTGAAACGTTTACACAAGCGCATGTTTGACCGCTGTTTTCCTAGCCACACAGCAGCAATAGATGACGTCAAGAAGACGTCACAGCTTTCATAATATGAAATTGTTCTCTGACACTCTTTGGATATTTAATTCGCTAACAAAGGCACTTTGATAAGTAAGAATGGAAATATCGTAGCTAAAGGCTAAATTTACTAATCTTACCGATGGATATCCGGTCGTATCATCCGTAGCTACACTTGAGATTTCGTCATCTTCGTCCATCAAAACTTTTGGTCGATAGGAAGGGAAAAATGTGGAATTTCGAAACCCAAGAGTCTGATAGTGATGGGAGGACCGTTTACTCTGCAAGACCAATATTGGCCACACGATTTGAAAAAGAACATGTCAAAGTTGTGCCATCGTATAGGATAACCTGGACACTTTTAAGCAGCTCATTTTTTGTGTCCTGGGGGTCGATCTATCACACATCAACTCGCAAAGCTAGTAAAGGTGCAATAAGCATTTTTGGAGAAAACTCGCCATATCACTAGTCTAGTGAAGCATGGAGCTAACAAACGTATTTGCTGATATCCCGATCTTTCAATAAACAGATTTTAAAAGATGAACCTAGTAGTGATTACTCAAGGAACAAGTGGTATCAAGCAAGTGTAATCAGTACTCATTCTTCACATATCAACAACGTGATTTCTAAGATGTTCTCATTCCTTTTCAGCAACGACTTGCATTTGCTTTGCGACGCAATCACCATTGTAATGAGCACACATGAAATGAATAAAATAAACAAACCATTAAACCTGAAAAACTGGAACATAAATCAAGTTTTCTCTCTTACCCTGGTTCCTAACCGAGGTATGTTGGGCACACGACCAGGTACAGGTAGTCCTGCTTTAGCTAACTTGATGAAGTATTTCTGAACTCGACTGGCAACCTTAGAGGAATTAGAGTAATTTAATGAGCATTCTAAGATGGTTAGGACGCTTTCCATTATTGTGAGTCAAGATAAAATAAAGTAAAAGAAGGGAAAACCCCAGTGCGGGCCTTGAGATGTGACTATGGACCATTTTCGAGATGCACAAAGTCTGTTTTGAAATAAGGGTAGGTGCCAAGTATTTCATGTCGAAATTATTTTTTTAATTTTATTCTTGTGCAAACATGACTCATTTTTCACAAGAATGGTTTTGCTCTTAGCTTCATTTTGAAAGTGGAGGTTTTAAAACTCGAAAATGGTCTATTCTTTAGGATTTTCTCGAACGGAAGTCTCAGACTGTTTTCTGACATGTGCGCGTGAAGTCTAACTTCGATCCCTATGGTTTGAGTGAAAACTACAATATTGGCGGACAGCATGCGGATTACTAAATTGTCGAAGAAAACAAACTCAGAAAGAAAAGAAATGTTACTGGTGAGAATTCAAGTTCCTGGGGTCTGAAGTAACGTACTTCCGCCTCGTTCTGAACCGAAAAAATTTTTGTGGAATCGACATATCAAGGGAAACGTTATGATTGCTCCTCTCTTCCGCTCATTTTCTCTTGAGGTACATCCAAAACTGAAGAGGCCTTGGTTTTAGAGCTTTCCCTCAATTTTGTACTTCTTAACCATCGAAGGGAATTCTCTGATCAAGCAAGGCACTTCTGATTACGTAAATTTCTAAAGAAACTGTGGTGGTGCGTCGGTGGGAGAGTATAACAGGGTATCAACTGAGTTGATATTACTTAATTGCTTGTGATAAATACCAGGATTACCTCATCTTTTGACCCACATGAGTGAACAAGACAAAATTTCTCCTCACAATATCATTAAAAGATCAAGATGACAAGAGATGAGAATAAAGAAAATTGTCAATTAGGGAATTATTAGTTGATCCTATACCAAATTCTCCAAACTGACATCATAAGAATAATATGGAAGGCAGTAAGAAAAATTACTTATGAGATCTTGGGAAAGAAATGTTAAAGATGTACGCAATTTGAGATACAGAGACTTGACTCTCAGAAACATTCTTTTACAACTAAGACACAATGATTTGAAGATAATGACAAAGAAAATAAAATAAAAACTTTTGGCCATTTAGATGATCATCTGTATTTTGTTAAATTTCTGTCTGTCACCACACTTTCATATTCACATTACTAAAAGAATTTAATAGCTCTGATTTTTACATTTTTCCATAAAACACTGATATGAACAAAGCATGACAGAGGTGTATCCCTTCACCCCTCACATATTTAGAGCCATAAATTGGACATAAGGTCAGAGGACAGATATTGCAAAAATAACTTAATTAGTTTCATTGAGACTGTTGTAAATGCACCAGAATTAGCCCTGGTGATGCCTACATGTATAATCTCTGTCTGTGGCTGGTACATAAAGCAAAGAGTAGTTAATAAAATAATAATAATGACTGTAACAAATTATAATAATATGAAGAATTGGAGTAAAACCTGTTTGTAAGTTCTGTTCCCTAGGGCAGCAGCAATTTTCTCCCATCTCTTGGATTCAATCTCCTCCTGGGGATAAATCTGCAACAACTTTTCCAATTTAGCCTGGAAAGAGAAACAAAATTTGTCAAATGTCCAATCCGCTGGCATCTTGTAAGGCTGGTGTCCAAAAGTTCCATCATCACCCCTCAAAAAAAGGTTAAATTCCATTGCAACTGAGGGTACATTCTGCTGCAAACATTTATAGTAGGTAGTTGAAAGGTTGTAAAAGTTAACTGACAAGTTGGCAACAAAATTGATGCCTCAAAGGCCACAGGGAAATGATAGGTGGAATATTTCAGCCAAAGAAACCATACACCTACATACCAAGAGTCTTTGGGGAAGTCAGCTAGTTTCATTAAAAGATTGACATTAAGTACTACACACAAACTTTCCCCTATTTTTTCTGTTCTAGCATGCAATGGTAAAACCAGACAAACCTGTTCTTCAGTAGTCCATGGCTGATTGAAGGTTACTGGTTTCATATCGCTTTGTCCATTCTTTAAGTCACCACCTCTTGGAGTGAAGGCACTTGTCAGACTGTTAATTAAGAAAATGGTCACAAATACAAGAAAAAAATAATGTTTGCCCACAATGCAGAGAAAAGATAAATTATGACATTGTTTGTTGCCTTGAAAACTTGTGACTAACTACAATTTAAATAAATAAAATTTTGGCTTAAACTTGCACAACATTACAAAAAGTAATGCTGTGTTTTCAGAATTAACATCATTACAGTTTACAGGCCTGGGAGGTACTTTTTCGTGATCCTATGCTGAAAGAGAGAGTCCACACACTAGCTTGCTATCTAAGATTGGTTTAAAATCTAAAAGTTGAAAATCTGAAACACAGAAAGCAAAAAACATTGATCGTCCAGCAGGGAAGGCATGATGTCTTGGACAACCAGATGCAACACCATTCTAAGTGTTTTCAGAGGGATTCTTCCTTATTTGCCCTTATATGAGCTACTTTGCACTATGGAAAGTAACAATAACTTGTTCTCCACCAATTGTTTTGGATTGCTGAAGGTTAAAACTAAAATTTGACAGGACACTCACCTTTCTCGTTCTAGTGGTTTTCCTTGCCTGCTTGCCACAAACCCTCCTCCAAAGACACTGTATACATTGCTCTCTGAAGGTGCAGTTGAGGAGGTCTCACTTGCATCAGAACTTTGCAATGATGATTCAGTTGCTGGAAAAAATTATATTTCTATTCTTACACATTCATAGTACTTGCCGATACATCATGATTTTACTGAAAGATTTCATTATGTTTTCAAACATTAAGAGACCACCAAATGATGAGGTCTTTCAACCAGACAAGTATAGGTAGGTAAGTCAACCCTTAAATGCCCACAGGTGACCAAGAAGGAAATTTCCCCTTACAATATCAATGCAATATCAAGCAGACAAATATTAGAAAAAAATTAAGAAAAATATCAAGTAGGGGATAATAAGTTCATTCAATATCAAAGTATCCAAACTAATATCATAAGAATTGATTAGCAGAAAGTAGGGAGAATTGCAAATGAGATCTTCCAATGAGTTAAGGTTTTTCACTATTGATATGAAATGTTGCATTAAGATGTGTTATTGACAATGCACTAAGTCAAAATGGCTTAAACTTGGCTAAGGTTTCTTGTGCTGGTACATGGAACCAGTGATAAACATCAACTTTATAAACTGTATTGTTTAAAATGTCTTGTTTCATTTGCACATGTCACACCTTTATCATTTGTATAATTGAAACATTCCTAACAGCTGCTTTGACATTTATGAATGTTCACTATTACTGTCATTAAAGAGTTTTTTATTTTTTTTTTTTTTTTTGTATTTCTTGCAAAGATTCTCTAAAATGATCGTAAACTTTGCATAAAAGATTCTAATTTATCTTAATTATCTACTATATCATTAGTATATATATTGGCAAAAATTCTGAGATCAAAGTTGTGGCAGAAGAAAATTATAACGATCCCAAATTAATCTTGGCTGAACAGTTTACAGTGAACTTGTATGTTACAACTTTCACAATACATGTGTTTACTGGATGTGCATCATTGTCAGCCTCTTGAATTCAAAAATAAATTTTATATTCTGATCACAATTATAATAAGCAATAAGTGGATGTAGTTTTTGCATAATATCATAAATTATTAAAACAGAAGTCTGAGTCATCAACCATGGCTTAAGGCTGAGACAGGTAACACAGACACCAGGTCTGATACTTCATGATATCTTGCCAAAGCCAAATTCAATAACTGTTTTTTCATACATTTTTTACTTGTAATCATTCAGCCATTTTGAGTTTCTCTATGAGTTTGCAAAAGTTTGCTAACACTACATGGAAGAGGGGTTTAGAAACTAGGCAGACTTTGAACTCAACAAGATAAATGCTTTATCTGCTGCAGATATTGGGTTATCATATAAACTTCACATGCTATTGTTTATTGATTGAAGCTCTCAACCAATCAGATTTTTTCATAATAAGTCTAATGTATTAAAACAATTATTGTCTCTTTGTACCTTTTCCCACATTGTTTGCACTGGCTCTAGTGAGATGTGGATTACTCAATCTCTGTCTCTCTATTGCACTCAGTGATACTGTATACTCCTCCCAAGGAACTGGTGGCAGCTTCACAATCTTCTGCCTTGGTGGGAGATCTAAGTGTTCCTTAAGTTAAACAAAAATTGCCTCAAGTTTATAGTGCTTCTTTTAGCAAATCTTCCACTAGCCCTTGTAACATTTATAAGATGTTACAAAAAAACATTGAACTGTGCACCCTCCTCATCACAATTGATAATACCTTTCCCCTTCCCCTTGTGTCAACAAAACTCAACGAAGGTTGTAACTACCTGCAGCAGGTCCTAATTTTAAAAGGAGGGCTTTATTTCAAAATTTTTTGAAAATAAATTGATGTGGCTTTGATAGAATTGAACAAACTGAATACCATTCATTAACCCTTTGCACCCTAACATCAGTTTGCGTATCCTCTGTACTGTTCTCTATACATTTCCTAAAGTGCTGACCAGGAAGATTTGTTTAACAATCAAGAGCTTCTTTAGTGGCTGATCATTTCCTTCATTCTTGCGACCTTTATGTAGGATTCAAGGGTGATATTGTAAGGAGAAATTAGATGTTTGTCACTCTTATGCAACATACTGACAGAGGTCATCTTCAAAAGCCAAAAACATTATCTTAGAATAAAATATCACCTTATTTTGGAGCTTCTCCACAAAGCTAACAGGATCCTGGAGAGCTTTCACCTGCTGTTCATAAAGGTTATCAAGATCCTTTGAAATAGGAAAGAATGAGAAGAGTTACACCATAAACAAGCATCTATACCAGTACATCATGAAAAAAATCTCTCCTATGGATTAGTTAGTTTTAAACTACATGTCTCAAAGCCAACATAATCCCCTAAGCAAACACAAAGGGAAAAAAAGATTGACCCATGCTTCAAGTTTAGCCAAAACATACATTATTAGATGCATATCTAGCTTCACTATTTAAGACATATAAAGTGGGGCCTGTGGGTGACCTACGGATGCCCTCAAAATGCAGGAGGCTATGCTTTCTCATCCATCTCCAAAAAGACTACAATGTTGAATTTTGCAGATTTGATAGCAAAAGCAGCACATTCTCCTCAGTTATTTTAAGAACCTGGATGTTGCCTGGTCTGGGGCTTGAATACTGCAGTCTAGCGCTCTACAACCTTACCTCAAACCTGGTGGTGGGTTATGTCGCACAAATATTGAAACATTATTTCAAGAATAATAATTTTGATTACCTTGACAGCTTGACTCCTCTGAGACTCCAAAACCAGCAACGTTTGTAACAATAAATGATAGCTGGTGCAAAAGAAGATAAAAAATCTCTATAAAAATCCTCTATAACTACATCTAGGTCCTCATTAACCTTAAAAGAGTTAGAGTGATTACAAAAGAATCATGACATTTTACACAAAGTCACATTCAAATGAAAAAAATAATAAAAAATAGTAAAAAGAAACAAAAACATATTAACCCTTTCACTCCCATGAGTGACAATGGCAGAGTTTCCCTTCGCAATATCAATACAACATTAAGCAGGCAAGTGAAGAGAATAGAGAAAAATAAATATCAATTAGGGAATTATTAATTTACCCAAAACCAAATTCTCCCAAAATGGCATCATGAGAATTGTATAGCAGGTGCTAGTGAGAATTATTAAAGAGATCTTGAGTGTGGAAGAGTTAAAAATGTGGCACCCACTTGTTACTTTTCAAAATAAATTCAGACTGGAAAGATATGTTGGTCTGTTTGCTTGTTTGGTTCTTTTACCAAGCCACCAGGGGGGTGGGGGCTTCTTCTGAGTAATAGGCTATTGGAGATGTGCTGCTGGATGGAATCACATTTTCATGACTGGATTTACTACAGTGAAGTTGTATTTTCAATAAAGTCACTAAAATGGAGTTTTTTTTTAGGTAAAAAATATTGGAAAGTTGGAATTAAAAATGGAAAGACTCATAGTTAAAAAGTAGTTACTGCATTACTAAAAGTGACTAAGTAATACTTACTGTTTATTATCTTTTAGTGCCAAATGATCAGACTCAAAATAGAAGCGATTGTAGTCATCATCCTCTCCATTGCCATTCAAAAACTGGTCATGCCACAGGTTAGTCTCTATAGTAGGGGACTCCTTTTCCACACCATGAGCTTCACTTTTTGTTTTCTTATCCAATGTTTCAAATTGCAACTGAAATAACCTTTCATTATAGGTCTTGCTGTTGATTTTTCCCAACTTGTCATGATCCACCATGCTTAATTGTGAGCCAGAAATTTGATCACAAGGATAGTCATTAAATCCAACATCTATCACATCAACTTCTTCAACAACCTCACTAGGATTTCTCTCAGAAATTCTGTCTTCATCTAAATCTTTGGACTCATTTTGAGATAGGCCATGGGCTTGATCATCGTCCTGGCAGCCAAACGCCGTGACATCCAAATCAACTTCACTGTCCACATTACATAAACTCATTGACGTTTCTGCTGCTTTTAACTCATTTTCCATCAAATCGTTGCTTTTAATTACATCTCCAAATCTAGCGACTGTTGAATGAAGACTCTGATTATCAACCTCTTTCGCTCGGTTTAATTCATTTGATTTCATATTTACCTTTGTGACCAAGCTCAATATAATCACGCAGCTTGAAATCTAAGTTAGGTCTCCGTTAGTCTGTCAGAAAATAGTTCTTTTCCAGCTAATTTCAAATATTTCTATCATTTTTTGTACCGTAAAGATGTTCCGTTTTCGAAGAGAGGACAAAATCCGTTTTATGGACTCACAGGACAGTAGAAGAGCACAACCAAAGAAAACGAGAACCCGAGTCGTCTAAGCGTTGAATTATCAAAATTATATAACTGACAGCGATTTTTACGCAAATGTATAGTTTCTATTTCAAGGTACCTTTTCCAAGATTTTTTTGTCACTCTTGTCTGCCATCTTTAATGTTGACATTATTGAGTCCTCTATAGCTCAGAGGCTATTCTTTGGCTCAACTGTTATTCATTTAAAACCCCACGTAGTGTACGCCGCCATGCAGAGTCTAACGTACATATTCAACATTGAATACAGCAAAAACAAATGGTTGCTCACCTCAAGAAATGTAAGATAGGGTAGACATATTTTCTCTTGAGGACTTGAAATGTCTGACGAGCAAGGGCTGGTAAAACAGCTGTTTGCCTGGACAAGACTTATTTTTAGCGCCCACCAACTCCCTACTAATCTGAAACAAATCCATAACCCCGAAGGCGTCCATTGTTTTCGCCTTTTTTTGCTTTTGTCAAAGAAATGTATCCATAATGAAGAATAGGGTTATACGGAAGTCTACTCGATTGTGAACGCCTGCCTCACAGGCGGTGGAGGCTAGCGTTTCTGTGTCTCATGATAAGCCTCCTGAAACGAGGGCAGTCGGCCTGGGCATGGATATCTCTCGCGCCGCATAAGGTAATTCTTCAGAAAAAAAAGTTATCGAACACAAGTTTTTTCTAAACTTTCCTTAATTTTCCTTACCAATGTCAGTTTCGAAAAACACAACACAAAAGATAGGTCACCTGGTCCGTGGATTGAAAAATAATACCGTGTTCTCGAAATGCGCGCGCGCCAGGAGCCCATTCTTGCGCGCGCTCATTCCCTTATTACGTGATCTTTATACGCAATACAGGATGCGTGTTGCAAAACTGAGGAATCATCTTAAGGTTTGATACAGAATATTCGAGGAAATCACTCGAATCACCGCTGGTTTTTATGCAACTTCGCTGTTGTTCTTTTAATCAACGCCGAAAAAATTAATAAATAATAAATAATAAATAACGCCTGCTGAGAAGGCCAGTGATAAGAAGTGCATTTGATTTATAGAGAAGGTTGAGGAAGATAATTTGGTTTTATAAACCCAGTTAAAAATGTAAATTGACCACCGTAAAGAGTTTTAAAGTTGACGTTTCGAGCGTTCGCTCTTCGTCAGAGCGGGTTGTGTGTCCTATATGCAGAAATTGGAACGTGGTGACAAGAAAAACACGAATAAATTAATTAAATGAAAAGAGTATGGGGATTAAGGGTGCCGATGTTTTTTATAGAATTTTGCAGCTTTCCGAACTGCCTACTGCTTTGAATGATTGAGAATATTAATGGTCTAGCAACCGGTTTGGATGCGTTTCGCCATTCCTAGTCTAGTCTAGGCTAGTCGTCTTCCTCCTTCGCCAGTATATAACGTTTTTTTTTTTAAATAAGTGCAAGTTGTACAGGTGAAGTGAATGGTAGTCTTATATGATCGCTTGAGTCCCGATGTAGTCTCGATGTTATGAATGAAAGGGCAAGTTTTGCATCGTGCGCGCGCATTTGAAAGTTCCGGGATGATCATCAATTTATTATTGAACTTCTGAACTTAGGAAGTTCAACCTCGCTCCCAGGTCCCCTCTCTTCCTTTCTCGAGGGAGGAAGACAGAGGACCCAGGAAAAGAGGAAGGAAGAAATTTTCCAGAATAATCGCAAACAAAGTTAATCAAAATCAATGTAATCTTTGAAGATCCAGAGTTTGAGGACTGTGATTGAGCATTACTACTTCTTTTGGAAGCAGCCTTGGTTGTCCTAGAACATCCCTGGGTGGATGGAAAGTAGAAATGGCTAGTACTGTTGAGGCCTTCAAAGGTGGTAGGGGAGGAAGATTCTGACCCTTTTTAGGTGGAAGCTGCATAGAGGACTTCACAGGTTGGGAAGAGACTCCTTGTGTCTGTACCTTCTCCACATTTTCTTTATGAAATTTGGAGCTACCTTTGACATCATTTTGTGCAGCATGTGGTTGTTTCAACAAGAGAAGTTTGGCTTCTTCTTACTTCAGTTCATTTCTAAAGTGTGCAATGGACGGAGGAGAACCTGGCCTCGAGCCATCACTAGTATTACCATTAGTGACTTTGACATCCCCCTTGACCTCACCATTGTTCTTTCTCCTGCTTTCCAAAGAGGACAGCTTTTCACACTCAATTGTAAGTTGCTTTTATTTCATTAAATAGTAGTAGGAAATTATGGTTTTATGTACATTAATGAAAAAAATCATTTGGTTTGAATTCACTTTTTTTCTTTAGCAGAATGATTATACGGATACAATTATTATCGCGAATGTACAATGAATCGCTTTAGTTTCACTTTTTTTTCATTAAGTAGCTTCACTGACAATGTGAAATATATAAAACCGAGCCTCTGATCTAAAGGTGCGATCGCCATTTCTTATATAGTTACGATAAAACCCAAAATTGTTGCCTTCGAACAACTATCGTGTTTCCTGCATACATCAATAGTAAATGTAAAGTACGTTTCTTCCTTCACGTCAGAGCCATGATGATTCTGCGAAAGAGATATATGAAGAAGTCACATTCTTTAAATCTCTATACGAATTTCATGATAAACTCCAATTCTTGGAGCAATATTTGATGTACAAGACAAAAGCTGAGTGATTGAAACAAATTATCACATTCCAGAAAATAAGGAACCTCAAAGAAAATGAAGTAAATTTAAAGCAGTCGGTTTTGTAAAAAACTTAAGTCAAAGAAAATTAGTTTCATTTTAATCCTCAGAGTCACTCGTTTTTACGCATCTTTAGAAGTAAAAATGACCACGTGACCTGAAGAAACGAGAACTCTGACAACGAGAAGCTGAATGCGTCGATCAATTCGAAGCTTTAAGATCCCCCCGGCCACTCTCTCCCCCCTCTCTCCTACCCTTCAGAGTTTGAATTTTTGAAGATTGGTTCGTTCAAATTTCTGAAACGCCCTCTCCCCCCCCCCCCCACCCCGGCCAAAATTGTGTTCAAATGCCTCACCCAAGTACCGGTTATGATTGTCGATTTTTTTTGTGAACGGCAAGATAAATAGCGACCGTGACTTTCTTTTAGACCTTTTCTTCTGACCATCTTCTCGCAAAATTGAACTTTTTACCTGCAAACACCTCCATATTAAAAGACAAAACACGTTCATTCCGCTGGAGAGACTTAACAATTCAAATTGCCCACCCCACCCAGGCAAGCTTCAAATTTACCACCCCCACGGTACGGACGGCTAACTGAACCCTGTCCCGTAAAACACACATGTTACGGAAATGGCACGAAAAGCCGCCCGACGTGCCACACGGCATATTGGGCATAGGAAATTCCCGGGGGTAGCCCGGGTGGTGGGTGAAGCTTCAAAGTTATTCTGCGCATCACAGACCAGTTGCGACGAGCATGTGCCCATGCATACAGGGGGAATTTCTAACGCGGAATGACTTACTCTTGTGAGAACCTGGAGAATTTTCTCGTCGAACTGCTCTGATAACTCAAGGCCCCGCTCTTTCTGCGCGAGCACGAGTGGTCCAAACTTGTGGATAATTACGTTGCCGCTTTGCGGCTTGCTGAACATCCCCAAAATTCGCTTTCTTAGATGCGAGATTGATTGCTTAATGGTAATAATAGATATTAAATGTTACTATAATCTACCTTCTTTCACAGTCTCATGTACGTCAACTCTGCTGAACTCAGTTTGGGTTCCTATTTCCACATTCTTGACAGTATGTTTAGAGATCTTTGGCATGATATTATCCACTGTCTCCGTGGATAAACCTGTCTCAAACCCAGATTGGTGAACTCCAATGTCCACACCGTTTAAACTTGACCCAGAAAAAACGGAGTCCTTGGATGCCGCAAGATTCTCCGGGACACGTCGATCGTTTGGAGTTTGACGCATGCGTGGCCAAGTGTTAACGCTGGTGCCTTTTCGAGCTGCCCGTCGGGGACTTGTTTCGTCTTGCTCTGCAATGGTTTCTAGGGCCATAAGAGGTACTTCTATGGAGTCAGGGGGTACAGCACTAGCTGGTGTGTCTACCCTCAGAGTAGGGGATCCTGGAATGACGACTTGAGATGGGTCATCGCCAAGAATCCAATCCAACTTTAAAGTGGTCTTGTCAATGGCGCGCTTGTTTTTCTTTTCGTCATCAAGGCCGTCTAAGTTTTCTGCGCCTTCTGCAGAGGCTGATTTGGAAATGTATTCACCAGTGTTACAATACCTGAGTACTGATGTAAATAAACGTTTAGTAAGAGGCAATGGAAGTGCGAGATATGTGAAAAGGCGAAGGGCTGGGTAAAAGGTTAGAAGGTTAGATTCTTTGTCAAACATTCGTGGGTGGAGGCGGAATCATGAGTCATTGACCAAAGGGGTTAAATCAGGTGGCCAGAATCATGAATAATTAAGAAATCATGAATTATAAGATATAGTCAGTGAAAAATCATGAATACCGTAAACAAGTTGTCGATGAATCATAAATCATTTCATCGAACTAAAAAAAATTGTAATTAAGGAATTATTTACGTCTACGGTCAGATAATTTCACTTCTGCCCTCGATAAAAGTATACTCCCTCTTTGAATTAAGGTAGTCCCTCGCTCTATTGTGGGTCACCCGGCGGTGCTCTTCTTTCAACTTATCGTGTAAACTACAATACTGGTGTCTTATCAAGTGGAGCAAGGTAACTATGAATATTAGTCGCCATTCTCAAGTTTGATTAAAAAGGAATGGAAAGAGATATTGTACTTAGAAAAGGAAAGGTCTTTAAAACCTGGTATTGAGTTGTAATCGGGGACTGAAAAAAATGTGTGTAATCAGAGTTCCGGTCACTGCGTTATCGATTGGGTATATAGTAAGTCTCAACTGAGTACTGAGAGTAATCCGGAGCTACTTCGGTTTTGTTTAACCAACGATTTGTCTACAAAACTCGTACTAAACTTTCCAATCAATCGGTTGCACGCGCTTAAGATGATTACTCAGAAATGAAAGTTGTTGAACGATTCTTTTTTGAATTTTTCCTTTAATGTTTCCTACCAACTCTGTTTCGAAAACTACGATGAAAAAAGATAGCTAAGCGTGCTTGCTAAAGAGATTTTATTGGCCAAGCGTACCCCATTTAAGCCTATA